GAAGGGGAAAAGGAGGGTATAGGAAAAGTGCAGGTGTGCTTCTGAGAGGGAGAGCTGCCTCAAACGTTAAATGAATAATGAGGACAGCACACCTAGGAGCAGACCACACACTATATACACCTTATTTTCATCAGCGTTCCTGAAGAGTATAGTCATACAAATCACTATGTTTAGAAGCTGTACATAACTAGGTATATACAATTTCTACAAGGAAGAGGGGTCTTGAGTTTATCAAACACATGAAATAAAGTTCATAGAAAAAAAAATAGGCAACCCTTTTATAACAGGATGTTGGGATAGCTATGATAAAAGTATGTGTAAAAGGGGGAGAATGAACATTCTAAAAGCAAGATCCCACTCAGAGACTACTTGAAATGGAGACCAGGAAACCCAAGAGGTCACTTATCTTGTGAGTTTTTCCCCCCTATATTGAAGAAATGGACACAATGCAGTAAAATATCATAGCAATTTCCATTTAAATTTGTCTTAAAAGGGGATTCATGAAAGGAAAGGGTAGTTTAGGAAGGAAGTACAGAAGGAAATGGAAAACTTACCAATATCTCAAATTGCTTATTTTATATCTTTCTGTACTGAAGACTGTGATGACAGTTTAAGCCAGTGGAGCATTTCCTGGGGTATCTCACAGTATCCATAGAGGAACAAATGATATATTCTAGTAGATAGCTGAGGAGCTCCACAGCCAGCAGCAACTAAGAAAAAATTTTCTTCCCTTGCTCTATTTAGAGTCTCTATTGTTATCCTCTAGTTCTCTTGTACCTTACACCTTTCTGCATCTCTCTCTTCTTGGTCTGTATTCAAGGGGACCCTTCTTGGATCAGGCCATTTTATAATACTGAGAATTTCTGTCTTTTTTAATTTCTCAAAGTTAAGACTTAAGGGGAGGCATTTTGTAAGCTATTTTCTTAACTATCCCTGTTTCTATTGACAGATTTTCAGAAGGCCCATCTTCTCTAATATGTGTTGGAGACAACGAACACCCACTGCAGCCACCATTTGCTGGAGAATCAGTGCTCTCTTGGCACTATTCTATCCTATTTTTGCTCTGCTTAGTCCCTCTGTATTTTGTGTTTAATCCACTTTACTGTGGTGCTGACTCCTGGACTGCAAGTGCACAGTTAATTTGAATAGTATAGCAGGCATATTTTAATTGCTAATAACAATGATTTAAAGAGCTAAGGGTTATTGTTCTCATTCAAGAGATGTCTGAAGATAATGCATCAGCCTAGCAAAGATACCAAGTATCCAGACTCTGTCCACCATTTTACTTCATTATGCTCTGTGTGCTGGCTTTTGTTTTCATCCGTGTCACCTCATGATTGAAAGATGGCTTCTGTGCTTCACGGCACTATCACATCCATTTTAAATTCAGGCTGGAAGAAAGAAGAACTGGATGTGATGGTACCAACACCCCTCCACTTTCATCTTATTGGCTAGCACTGTCACACAGCAACTCAAACTTCAAGGGAGACTGGAAAATGGAAGAAGCGGGCTGCAAATGGACATTGTATCAGCCAAATCATAGTGCTTGCCACAAATGTGAACTAAAGAAGTCCTATTCTAAACTCTCTCCAATGATCAAAAGTAATTGATCCCATGGTGTATGTTCCATATATTTCACTATTCTACTCCTTCCCTAATTTCACATAGCATACCCCATTTTTTAAAAATTAAATAACTACTCTGTAAGCTGAACTAGAACAAGGGTAATAATCACAATGATGTTAATTTGCTCATTAATTACCTCAGCTAATGTAGAATTATTAAGTATCTATCGCTTATTGCCAAGCACTGGGACACAATGTTAACTAATGTGCATTTCATGTCATTGACCATGTCTTAGCTGCACAGTGCTTCACCAATTAAAAATGCTCTCAGATATTAAAAGCAGAAAATTCAAATAACTGTGATTTAAACCATATTATCACTCTATAACTTTCTTTTTAAAAATTCTAAAAGATGTTTGTAGCTCCACAATATTAGGGTACTGGGGTTATGTCTCTGTGATTCCTTTCATGGTTACAAGAAGGCTGTCACATTTCCAAACATCTCATCCTGCAAGAATGTGTTCAAAGGCAGCCAGGAGGGTGAGAGAATTGTTCTCTCTTGCCTCTTCTTTTTATCAGAGAATGGGAGAATTCAATCTTCCCCAGAGACCTCCTCAGCAGACTCACTGGCTAGAACAAGGTCATGTGGCACCAAAAAGTATCCAGTGCACAAAGGCTAGTGGGTTGAGAATGAATATTGGGTAGCCAACTAAAAGTGATGTCATAGATGCTTTATAGCTTTCCACACACTTTCACATTGATGATCTCATCTTATGAGACTACTTTCCAAACATACAGAAACTCAAACCTAGAATAAGAAGTGTAAATGGTATCTGCTGTGTGGGAACTTCTGGCTGGGAAGTAATTTAAAGGTCCTTTGAAGGTGCAAATTTAATGCAAGGGTTTTAAAGATATAATGTATTTAGCCTATAAATTATACATACAACAGCCCAAGGAGTAATTCAGAAGATTTTTATAGTTTGGGAAGATAATTACATGGTGGAATGAAAAGAGAAATTAGGGTACATGGATTCTAGGCTCAGCTTAGGGATTCTAGGCTCAGACACTGGAAGGATTCTGAAGCTCTATTTCATCATTTGTAAAATTATGTATTTGAACAAAGTTAGATGACCCCTAAACTCCTTCTCAAATATAAGAGTACCTATCTAGTTATCATGCTGGAAGTCATGAGGTAGAAGAATATTAAAAGTTGTCTATTCCAACCTCTTTTTACAAATGAGGTCATTTAGGCTCAAAAAAATCACCATTTGTCCAAATTCACTCATCTAAGTTAGAAATTTGAGTCTTAGTATATAACACACTATGATTTCACAAATAACTGGTATTCCATAGGTTTTTTAAAAATTCAGCTCTTCCTTTATCTTCTTTTTTACCTTAGGCAGGATCTCTCCATTAGCCTTTACTCTATTTAACAGAATGCAGATAATAAAATAAAAAAATTTAAAGCCTATTTTTTAGCTGTAAGATCTTAACCTCTCTGTAAAATGATAATTATACCTTTCCCCATAGTTTTTTTTCTTCTTTTTTGAGGACTAGATGAATTAACCTATTAAGAAAAGTTAGTGTATGACTGACACTGCAAGTACTTAATCCCAGCCACCCATCTCAGTGCTTAAAACTCATCCAAGAGTGAGAAAGGTCCTAGACCAATTTCCACAGCAGTTAGTGTGAAGAGTGAATCTGAATCTCATGATCATTATTTTGTCTTCACACAGTCATATCTTTTACCTTCACATTATGTAGATCTGAAGGTTCTGTGTACTAGGTTAGGATGTAGTACATAACTGGGAGCCACTCACTATGCTGTCATTGAGCTCAGTATCCAGTGTTTTGTACAAGACCATTTGAATCACTTATATCTGGGATTCATGGATGGGCTGCAGGGGAACAGGGACCCATCTAATATTTCATTGAAACGGGTTTTTCCAACCATGGTACTACTGACTGGATCATTCTGAGGAGCTGTCCCTTACATGGCAGTGTGGTTAGAAGCATCACCTGCCTCTAACCATTAGACACTAGTAGCACCACCCTGATGTCGGTAATCAAAAAGGAGTACCAAGCTTTGGCTGGGGCTGTGTGGGATGTTTCGTTCTCACATCCCTGTTTCTCTTTCTCTCTCTCTAAAACTCAATTAAAAAATCTTTAAAAAAATCATGTGTCTTAAACTTGCCAAATGAGCCATGGGGAGCATAATCTCTCCCCCCCCCCCCTTGTTCCACTGTGATAAAGCTTAATATGTATGTGCACTTCTTTTCTGGGAGGCTTATCAGTTTCATCATATTCTTAAAAGAGTCTATGACCTCAAAAAGACTCTTACTCAAAGCCTTTCAAAATAATAATGAAAGAATGCACATTTCCAGCTGTAATTGTGGGGGAAGATACACCATCATTGCTAAATAAAATGGTGCAATTTGAAAATTTACTATATACATACTCATTTATTTCTTTCAATTACTTTGAAGAAGCAATTCACAAACTATATCTGGGAAAGTATCTACTTCACAAACTGCTATTCCCAGACTGCAGGATGACTTTCACAGTCTTCTACTGAATGTAGCTCTAAACTGCCAAAGGGATAGCGCTCATGAAAAGCAACAACAAACAAAAATCCCAAACCTCGTCTGGAAGGAAAATAAAAATCAGTTGTTTCTTAGAAAATAAATCCAATGTCAGTATTGATTTCAAGATTGACTGGAGAGATGGAAGGGAAGGGAAGGAGTGGGAGAAGGTGAAAGGAGGGGTGGAGAGGGAGAGAGCGAGCTGGAACGCTAAGCCTTGAAAGTTCCCAAAGGGAGTGTCTTGGGAGAGGCTCCCTTTTGCTGGGAGTCGCCCCCAGCCTCCTCCCTGGCCAGCCTAGAAAGACGGCCGCCAGACTATTCATTTCTCATTCCCAAGTCCACATTGTTCACCCACTGCCGAAGTGACCACATCCCAAGAGCGTCCTCAAAGCTCAAAAGGGTCAATTCACCCAGTCTTTACGGCCCCCATTCTCATCTACAACCGGAGCTTAAATCCCAAATACCAGACCTACAGAAGCAAACAGGAAACGTGTCTCGTCTTCCAAGGCCCCTAGCGAGCTCCCCAAAAGACAATTAACTTTCTCCCCGACTTCTCGGTCTGTCTGCCTCCGCCGCTCTCCCTTTTGAAAGAGTCACAATGAGAGGAGAGCAGGAGGAGGCTCGGGGCTGGGGGAGCCGCGAAAGCCACCCCAAGAGATGGGCTTGGACCCCAGCGCACAGAGGGGTGCGCCCCTCCGCGCCCCGCGCGCCTTGTCCCCGCCGACCGCGCCTCGTCCGGATCTGTCTGCTCCGGGTCCGCGGGGCGCGAGGGGAGGGAACAGGAGAAAGAGGAGGGCCGGGCAGCGGAGGGAGGAGGCGGTGCGTGCCTCGCCTGCCAAAGAGAGGTCTGTGCATCTGCGTGCGAGCCCCCGCCCGGGACACGCGGGGAGCGCGGCTCCACTGGTGGCGGCGCAGCCCGTCCTCTTGGGCAGCCTCCGGAGCCGGGCCCTGCTCCTTCTCCCAAGTCTGGTCCGGGCTCTCTGTGGCTTCAGGGGCAGCAGCGAAGAAGGAAGAACGGTCTTCTCGGCTGTGGATGTTCCGTCCGGGAAAGACAGCAAGTTGTGTGTGCGCCCCGGCGCGGGGAGAAGGTGGCCTCCGCCCGCCAGCCATGTGAGTGAGGAGCTCGGCCGCCCCGGGGCGTGGGCTCCGCCGCTTTCTCTCCTCGGCCCCCTGGTCCCCCGGACGCCGGAGTTGCGCGGTTCCCGAGCTCCGACTTCCTGCGCGGGGCTGCCGGCTGGGCTCTCCCGACCCCGCCGCGTCGGCTGTTGGCGTCTGCCTCGGGGCGTTGCTGCCTTCCCATCCTGGTCCCCTCCCTTCAGAGGCCGGCTGGAAAATGCCTCGCTCCCTCTTTTTGGATTCAGGGATCTTATGTGTCTTCGAGGGTGGGGGTGGGTGGGTGAGGACATTGCAGGGGCTGATTATGGGCTCGCCTTGGCCTTACCCCAGGGCTCCTTAGCCCAGCTCTAGATGATGGCCCCCGTCCCCTATGTCACCCCCGCTCGCCTTCCCCAGCCTCATGGCCCAGACAGACAACTTTAATCGTTAACGCTGGCGCTGGCCGCAGTTGACAAGATTTAAAAAAAAAAAAAAAAAAAAAAAAGTAGCCGGAGCTCCCCTGGAGTGACACACTGGACTGTACAGGGGCTGCGAGGTGGAGAGGAAGCCGCAGGGGCGAGGCTTGGGAAAGAGGAGAGGTGAGGGAAGGGGGCATTTGCTGTGGACTCTGAACGCTGGGGTTGAGAGTTCTGGAAACGGAACTCCAGGGTGCATGGGCTTTGGGCTTCTGTATTTATTTCTTTATGGAAAGTGTGGGAAATGGTTCAGGAACTCTTTTTGAAACAGAAGCAGAGGTGGTAGTCAAATGCTTGTGGAACTATTTGAATAATTGGGGTTGGCTGTAGAGTACTGGAAAGTATGGATTACTTTTCAGATTAGACACTGACAATCATTGAACTGGAGAGATAGTTCCAAAAATTTTATTGGCACCAGTGAATCAAAATTGCAGAGATGAAAATAAGTCATACACTGGCTTTCTTTCACTTACTCCAGGAGAGTATAGTTAAGATTGAAGGGATTCACAAATGCTATTTCATGAGTACTGGGAGTGCCTATTAGCTCCATCCATTCTATGTGTCTAGACAGTCTATAAAGTTTGGTGAATTTATGGTGCTCTGGAAGTGTGAAATTTATTCTAATCATTTTGTTTGGGCTCATGCAGAGACTTCCCACTTTTGAAGTCTTGAGGCAAGTTTGAGTGTTTATTAATTAAAAGTTGTAGACTAACTGAATTGATGTTATCTACTTCACTAAAAAACATTGAACTCTCAATATTTCTTATTGTTTTACCAGGGATCATCACCCTTACTACGGCGGACCGGAAGTTGAGGCCCAGTGAGGCTGAAGATCCATTCTGTTCATAGACACTCCCCATTACGGAACTGTGGATTACTTGTGGTCCCAACACCTGGTGGTTTCACACCTTCACTTACTCTTGCAGCCCCAGAGCAGTTACTTTGGGTCCTCATTGCCCCATCTGGAGAAAGATGGCATCCAGCCTGACGTGTGCTGGCGTGATCTGGGCTTTGCTCTCGTTTGTTTGTGCTGCTACCTCCTGCGTGGGGTTCTTTATGCCTTACTGGCTCTGGGGATCCCAGCTGGGCAAGCCTGTGTCCTTCGGTACTTTCCGGAGGTGCTCATATCCTGTGCATGATGAGAGCCGGCAGATGATGGTGATGGTGGAAGAATGTGGGCGCTATGCCTCTTTCCAGGGCATCCCCAGTGCAGAATGGAGGATCTGTACCATCGTGACAGGCCTAGGTTGTGGCCTCCTCCTCCTGGTGGCTCTCACTGCTCTCATGGGTTGCTGTGTGTCGGAGCTCATCTCCAGAACAGTGGGAAGAGTGGCTGGAGGAATTCAGTTTCTGGGGGGTAAGTGACTTGCTACACTTGAGTTGTTTATTGGAATCCCAAAGTAATATTGAAAATTATGTTCCGGTTGTCTATTGAGATTATTATAATTGACACTTGGAATGCTCTGGAGAAATAGACATGAAATGGCTTTGGTGATAGATTACCAAAGTCAGAGGTTTTTAGTGGAATTGCTTTACAACTTGGAGAGTTCTTAAATTTCTGTACATCCTTACACATATATCCATCATTAGCCTGTGAGGCAATAACATGTGAGGTCATTTATAATGTAGTAGGGGAGACAGTTTGCATTCCATCACTTCTCGCTCTTCATGTTCAACAGTAAGCAATTAGATTATCTGTGTCTTACTGGAATCCTCAGGTCTTTAATCAAGAAGACATCATAGAAAAGTAGAAATGTTTTTGATTCAGCATTGTCATCATAGATCTTTTAATACTCTTTGGTAAAACTACCCTTATCCAATCTTAAACTATATTTCTAAATAAGTGATTACTGTTTTAAATAAGATACCAGTTTTGCATTAAGAACTATGAATTTCACTATTCTACAAAGATAGCTATAGCCATAACTATCTTGTTAGGATTTCATTTCCCTAGGTACTGTTGCTGTTAAGAAAAAAAAAAGAACATTTAGCAAATGATGTCTACTTGTCCCAAATGGACTGGATAATGTCACTAACACCAGGACAGGTTTGATTTTTACTTGGGTTTCCTCCAACAAGTACTGCTTCAATATCTCTGGTCATATGGTTTTAATTATACTTTACATATTTTCCGCTGTGCCTTTCACCTCCATTTTTCAACCTGAAAGGCTGAACTTGTCTGATTTATAATCTACCCTGGTGAAATATGACAACTATCATAGATAATGCAGAGTGAAGGGGAAAAGCTAGGAAAATATGTAAAATGTATTTGTAACTTCATTATAAAGTAAGAGTCTGTTACTATTTCATTTGGTGTTTCCTTACAGAGTTTTGTGAAAAATCCCGGAAAAACAATTAAAAATTGATAGTTCTGAGATAGTCTACTTACTGGAGAAACCCCAACAAATTATTTTAGATTATTTAATATAAAACTTTCAAGTAATGTTTAAGTAAGAAAATTCTTGTGCTAAAAAATGCAAGTGGCAAAAAGTTTTGTGTTTTAAAACAAGAGATAGAGTTGCTTGCAGTTCTTTATTTCTTTACCAGATATAACTTTGTTTTCATCTGTTTTTTCTCTGTGGTTTTGCATCTCACTCTGCTCTAGAAGGCAATTTGGGGGCCTTAACTCTCCTTTCTTTATTGCTTCAGTGTTCAACATTAACCAAAGTCTTGCATGTGATATGTGTATTCATACAGAAATAAAGTAAATAAAGTAAAACTATTAGGAAACAGAAAGATTATTGTTGAAAGTTGCAATATAAATCCAGAGTTTGAAAACGTGATACCACGGATTTTAAGAATAAAACTAATGCCACGAGTATTTAAATATCTTTCGTTAAGAATAAACTTGATTTTGATGTTTTGTTTCACTTGGCTCAGGAAAAGTGCTTAGGCAGTTTCTTTTTCTCCTCTTATGGTAAATATTACTCTCCTCCCTCCCCCTTCATTTTAGGGCAGGAACTGCTATTATATCTGGCAGAACAGGAAAATGCTTACAAAGAGAAATCATTTTTTATTGATTATCTTTAAACATACAATGAAAGAAGGCAACAGAAAGTGAATCTGAGACCCATGAGATTTTATGCTTCCCTCTCTAAACTATGTATAGATTTTTTTTGGATTATATAGAGCTAAATGTTTTACTTAACAGAAAAACTCAAGAAAGACCATTGTGGAAGTTAAACATATATTTAAAAGGTACTGGTTTTTTTCTTTAGATTTTCTTTTCATGAACTCTGGCTTGGTAAGTGTTACTGACATTAAGCTAAGGATATAGTTTATTACTAGCAGTTGGCATTCTCTCATTTTTCATATATATTTTTCATAATCTGGCAAAAAATTCTGAATGTAAAACCTAAAAGAGTTTTTCTGAATTGAAACTCTTCAGGGCACAAGTAGGTAAATACATCCTATTACTCAAATAATAGTAAATTTAGAATTAAAAAATAACTTGAATTATGGAAAAGGCTTTGGGAAAATCTGCCATTGATTGCTATCATTTAATGGTAAACCAGTTGACAGACGCAAAAATACTTCAAAAAGAATTTCTCCTGTTGTTTATTTCATAATTGTCTGGATTTTTATTCATAAACACTTAAGTGGTAAGTAATTTTATTTTATGCAAAATACCAAACCAGTGAGTTCTATGAGTACCACACATGGCAATACTTCAGAAATATAGTCAACATACTCTCCTATAAGGCGGATTCTCTTACTAAAAATGGTTCACCAAGAGGGTTATGTTTAGCAAAAGTTAGGGTTGTTCCAAAAACACAGGAAGCAGCGGAATGGCGAAGTACAGAGGCATCCTGCTTAACCTGCCTGCTGTGTTGAGAGTTTGCACATATGGTGTAACATCAGGCAGTAAAACCCCTGCAGTACTTTGGAACTAGTTAAAGGACAAAATGTCAACCTTAATTTTGAATAATCTTGCTATGGTTGATTAGAGGTTAAAATGTCACCTGTCAGCTGATAGAACAACACAAAAAGAGACTGTTGTACATGGGCATTTGCTACCTATAGGAGGAATACTTCTAAGAATCAATGACTTCAGCTTTTCCTGTGGTAACATAAACTTTGCCACCATCTCCATTTATATTTGAAGTCATTTTTTTGGTCATAATTTTCAAAAGCAAGTCTGAATTCAGTTTTACCCTTAAGAGTTGTGTTTTTGGGTTTTTAAAAAAGATTTTTTAAAATGATTTTTAGAGAGAGAAGGAGGGAGCGGAGAGAGAGACATTGATGGGAGAGTGAGACATCAACCGGCTGCCTCCAACACACTCCCTACTAGGGATTGAGCCTGCAACCCGAGCATGTGCCCTGACTGGAAATCAAACTGGCAACCTTTTGGTGTACAGAATGACACCCAACCAACTAAGCCACACTGGCCAGGGCCTTAATTGAGTTTTTAAAAGGCATGTAGAAAGCCTTTGAGAAATATAAGATAACAAAAATGCTAACATTTGCATCGTGTGGAAATGTGCTATGAGAAAATAGAAGCTTTAATGTTTATTTGTTTGTTGAATATAAAATTATTTGCTTTTAAATATTGCTGTGGTCATTAAGTACTATAACAGAGTTTTAAAAAGTTAACATCAAACTTTTTGATGTAAGTGATAGTAAAGTATGTGCTCTGTAGATGAAACATGTAAGGACATTATAAAGATATATTAACTAAGTTCTTGCAAATGTTGGTATCTGAATTTATAGATTTCATTTTAGGAAACTTCTGGCGCTGTATGTAATGCGGATTTGGAGTAATCCACATTTAGTTTGAATGTGAGTCACATATATTTATAAAATGGGTGTAGAATGCTAATCAGTAGCAAACAACTATCTTTCCAATTTAGAAATTGTTCTGTCCTCACAGGCCACGGGAGACCATCTCCTCAATTAATTGATAGTGAAGTGCTGCTCAAGACAGTAATGATGACAAAGGGTTTCTTTGAGCAGCCTTTTCTCTGTCTGCTGAAAGTATCCTTGCCTTTCTAGTATTCCCTCACTACAGGCTTTCACCTGGGCCTGTCTTTCACCCCTTTGGGATAAGGGCTTGGGACTCCCCTTCCTTCACTCCACTTTAAACCTGACCTGTCATATGATATGCCACATTCTGCTTTCCTTCATACCCAGGTTCTTTGTCAAGTGACAGCTGAGGAACAATATAAATGATAAGTGTTGGCATATTAATGAGCATAGTAGCTTTATAGTGACAGTGTCTTAACTGGAGTTGCTCTAATTTTAAGAAGGCCAGGCATTTCTTGGGCCAGTTCGGGGTTTATTTTAAAGTACATCTTATAGATATTTTATTCATCTCCCTGTAACCTACAACTTAAGGTTGTTTTGAGATCTAAGCCAGGGGTTCTCAAATTTTAGTATGCATCAGAATCACCCATAGGACTTTGTAAAACACAGATTTTGGGGGTCCACCCAGGAATTTCTGATTCAGTAGGTTTGGTGGGGGACTAATAATTTGTATTTCTAATAAGTTCCTAGATAATGCTGGTTTTGAGAACACATCTTAATAATCTTGTTTTAAGTTAACCATTTTGTGTTTTTAAAAATGTGACCTCTGGTAGATGGTTTACTTTCAGAACTTAAAGTTTAGATGTATCATGAGCTGATATAAACCTCTCTAATTGGACTATAAAAAGACTCACCTCTGTAATTTAGTATTGTCTGAGCACATCCTCATTCCATCTCTCCTTGTTCTTGTCACAGAAAGTTGTTTTCCTGGAGTTCTCTCTCTTCATACATATTTTATACATATTATAATTATAATATATGCATTATGCAATATATATATGTGTGTATATATATATACATATATATATATATATTCTTTCATTTACAATTATCCTTTACCAGAAACAAGATTCTATAGATGGAGAACTTAAAACAAGACCTTAATGTATCCTCTGTAGTTTTCATGCAGTGGCTTTTCAGTAAGGAATTACTAACTGAAAGACATGAAGACCACTCAGACCACAGAGTCCAGCCAAGACAGCCTTTGTCCAACTCTGAAAAACCATGTATATCTTGGAAAAGCAGAATGGTTAGGTCAGGAAGGCACTTAGGAATCAGCCAGTCTGAGCTTCTGCTGCTAGGCAGAATGATACATTACTTAAACCAGCTTTGACCTGGACTTAAACATCTCTAGGGAAGATGTTACACTGTTACACTCTTGTTGAATAGTAGTACTTTCTAGGGCCACAAATCACACCTGCCATCACAATCAGATGTCCCACATTACATCCTATATAATAAAAGGGTAATATGCAAATTGACCCCTGGGGATGACCAGTCGCTATGACACACACTGACCACCAGGGGACAGACACTCAATGCAGGAACTGCCCC